AGATTGTTTTCTTTATATTTTTATTGTAATATACTTAAAATTATTTTATGTATTATAATTTAATGTAATTTACATTTTGTTATATTTTGTAGTTAATAAATATTAGATTTTTATTATCACTCATTTACTTTTTTACTCTCATTTACTCTAATCTACTACTAATCACATTTTTTTTTACTCTTATTTACTCTAATTCCCAATTTTTCCTCTCAATTTCTCCACTTTTATTTACTCTCAACTATTCTACTACTTACTAATCACACCCTAAGTGTCAGACTGTAAAGCAGTTTTAAAGTAAAAGTAAGTGGGTGGAAAACTTATATCACTGGTTCACATCCATTGCCATTCAATCAGGTGAAAAATAACCAAAAAAGATAATTTTTCCTCCTATTATCGTTCCAATGACGTTAACTTATAATTTTTTTATCGAAGAGGTAGGACCACTTCCTTTTCTTTATATTATTTAAAATTTTTATGTATATAAAGATGTGATAAGTTGATTCATTTGCTATAACATTAGACTTAAATCTCTTCATTTATATTTTATTTGAGAAGAAAACACATGAACATAATAACATTAACATCTGGTGGGATACGAATTCAACTCCTCTCCTTTTTTCAATTAAACGTTTGCTAAATTCTCTAAGATTCTTCAGTTTGATATAAATACTTCCAAACTATTAAGGTATATTGTATTACATATAATTCTCAATATAAATATATATAAGTATTTATATTAAATATTTCATTTTAATTAAATATATACTATTTTATATGAAAAGGAATATTTAGTTATGCATTCATAATTGAAGTAGATGTAATATGAACAATTTTATATAATATGTATTGTATATAATGAAAATATACTAAAGTTACATATGTTTTAAGAGTTAATAAATAAATATATTTTGTTTTTGGTTACTAAAAACTAAAACTCAATCATTTATAAATTTTTATTGTGTTTGTTTATCAGAAACATTGACCAACAATTTTTAAAAAATATTACATATGCCACAATAGTATACAGTCTACATAGTCGTTTGTTTGTAATCAATAAAAATTAAAATTTAAGAAATGAATAATAGTTTTCAACCATATATATATATATATATATATATATATATATATATTTTAACATATATAATTTTTTCTTTAATATGATGTTCTTAATTTACTATTACCCATGTATGAGAACTCGCTAGACGCTAGTCGGAAGGTCGGCTTGGGCCTAGCGCCTAATCAATAAATCGGAGATTTTGCGGGATTTAATCGGGTCTAGTTTTTTGTACTTTTATCGTAAATATATGTATATAAATAAAAAGATGAGATAAACAATTAAATGTACAATTATGTAGTGGTTTGTGACAGTTAATATTTTGAGGCAGGTAACGTGTTCGAATCTTGTAGCGTGATTAATGCTGTTTAATTATTATAATCAATGACTCAGATTTTTTTTTTTTACAATAAAAACACCACAAACATTTGTCCTACATCGAGAGCCAAGAGGGAAAGAGGTGTTTCACCTCAGCTATAAATAAGTACATATAGTCTCCTTGTTTTTTTTGTCAGTGGGCTTTTTCTGTAGACCAAAATGTTTATATCAGTCAAAGATTGTTTTGGATTTTATTTGGTAAAAATCGGTTTTATATCGATTAATGGGATAAGGTTGACCGATTAATTTGACCGATTTGGTCTTATTCGTGGCACTGGTATACCGCCCACTGCCTAACCAGCAATTTAACCGGCCGCGTTAATCGAGTTTTTGAACAGTGACTATTACTGATGAATAATAGATCGTAAAACGTACGTTCAAGTAGTGGTAGAGGTCGTGCTCGTGCTGGATAATTTACTCTTGGCAGTGGTTCGAGAAGTGGGTATGGAAGATCATCAAATCATGGAGAAAGAACAAGTGGTGATATTCCAACAAATATTCTAAGTTAATTTTTTAAAAAAATTGTTTATACTAATTAATATTTGATATTAATTTTATTTAAAAAAATAATTTAGCATAAATGGACGCCTAGAACTACACGAATTCTGCTTGAACTTATAATCTTTAAACTAGAAGAGGAAGACTATACAATTAGACTACCACCAGGCCCGGGGAAAAAAGAATATAAGTAAATTTTCATGAATTAACTCGAGATTCAGTTAAATGGAAGCCAGAGATAAAAGGCATAGTTAATTATTTAAGAAGGTTGTGGCAGTACAACAACACACTAAGCCGGTTTACAGGAGTATATATTGATTAGTCAACAGGAAAAAATATTATGTTAACATCATGGTGGAAAGATCAATGCGTGGTAGTTATGTAATTTTAGGTTTGTGATATATATTAATTATATATATATTGTGACAATTTTTCAAGAAATTTCTCCAAGCAATCACAAATATATAACTGTCTTGCAAAATAATCCTCTTCCCTTCAAAGATTTACTTGATCAAATATACAGTGAACATGACATGGAACAAGATGATCATTATTCACCATACATGTTTGACGTTCATTTCCAGCACACAGAAAAATGTTGAAACAACCAATGATGATATTCATCTAGGTGGAATAGATGATTATGGCCGAACCTCATACCCTTATGTCAATCTTAATTTAAGTACATCTGATGAAGAGGAACCAAAACTTTCAAGGCCAGATGTTCATTCTGGAAGAGAAGTAAGTCGGCATTCTCCATACACAACTAGAAGGTCATCTTTAGGTGTTCGTAATACATCATCAACACGGTGTGCTCATACAAAAAGATCCAATTTTTAGGCTCATACTGGTGGAAGATTTCAACGGATGGAAAAATCTCGTGGACAACTACTAGATGTTATGCGCTCATGTCATAATACAGAACCAACATATGGTGATGCACTTGTCATACTCAAATCTTTGCCTATCAAGCCAATGGATACATTTTGGTGGGAAGAAAACAAGTTGTTTATGAACGATGAAGATATTCGTGATGGATTTATGAAATTAAGAAGCGAAGAGAATAAATTTCGGCACTTGGAGAGGTTATCCGGAGTTGATAGATATGGAAATCCTTGTGAGCTTGTTAATCTACGAGTTGCAAGCAGCACAAGTAGAAGTGGTCATGTAAGATTCAGATGGTTCTGCCTATTATTCTCGTGGATATTTTGGTGGTGAATCAGGTGGTGGAGGGTCTGTGGGAGGAGGTTCTAATGGTGGAGGATCTAATGGAGATCAAAGATTTTTCTTAGGCGACATCAATGAAGATGACTATGGTGGCATGGGAAACATTTTGCTTAGTCAAGCATCATGAGGATTTACCTCTCAAACTTTTCATAACTTTGGAAATTTCAACTCAAGGTCATTTGACATGAACCCTCATAGATTTCCATGATCAAGTTTTGGAAATGTTCCAAAAATGTTTAACTTTTTTAACAAGTAGGGGAAATGATGGACAAAATTAATGTTGTTGTGAATTAATAAAATATATTTTGTTTATGTATATTGGTGAATGTATTTTTTTCTTCAATTACTAACTCTACTTTTTACATGAATTATCAGGAATTTCGAATTGCTGAATTACGTTCAAACGGAGTCAAAAATCTTAATGAGGAAGAGATTGCGGAGTTGATCTTACTAGAAGAAGAATGGGCTATGAACACATGCATATCTCTTATGTTGAAATATTATTGAAGATATTTTTCTAAGCGACCCACTAGTTTGGATGAAGAAAAAGGATGGCTTATTAAACAAGCTTAAATTTGCGATAAGGATATTTCATGTCAAACACTTCGTAGGATGAGTCCGGAGGTTTTCACACGATTGTGCGGAATACTGCATGAGAATTATGGGTTAGAAGCCTCGAGCCGCATAGATCTTGATGAGAGTGTAGCAATATGTGCACAAAACGATACTTCACGTGATATTGCACTAAGGTTTGGACGTTCGCAAGAGACAATTGGCAAAAGTTTCATGATGTGCTTCAAGCAATGAAGCGAGTGACTGTAAATTATGTACGACCACGAATATCCCAAGAACTTACAACCATCTCCAACCGTTTTAAGAGTGATGCAAAATATAAAACTTATTTTCATGGATTTGTTGGTGCTCGTGATGGAATGCATGTACCAGTTATGGTCTTACCAGGTCTCCAATTTATATATAGAAAAGGAATTTGTAGCCTTAGAGTTTTGACCATATGTGATTATAAAATGCTTTTCACATATTGTTATGTTGGAATGGCGGAATCTGCACATGATGTTAGAGTATTGCGACTGCAATACGAGATGATCTGATATTTCTTGTACTTCTAAAAAAGAGTCGATTCTGGATATGCTAATAGACGTGGATATTTAGCTCTATTTTAAAAAGAATTTGAAAAGAACACAAGATATCATCTCCAAGAATTTAATAATGGTTAACCAACTAGAACCATCAAAGAAATGTATAATAGATGTCATGCATCTTTATGTCTAGTTATCGAACAGACATTTGTAATTTAAAAAAAAATGGAGGGTTCTTAATGAATTTCCTTATAGGTATGATATCGCCTCGCATAGAAGTGTAAATTTGCTATGATGGTTTACATAATTTTATTCCTCAGCATAATTTTAAGATTCTGATTTTGACGATAGTAATATCGAGAATGATGGTGAAAAAGTACAAGATATTGAGAATGATGAAAATAATACTTTGAAAGGAGAAGAAGAATCAGAAGCTGAAACGTATATGCAAATAGTTCATACTCAAATTGCTGAACAAATATGGACTTCAAATCAACGTAAACCTCGACGATAAATATACTATAATTTATTTATTGTAAAGATTTGTTTTTAATACTTTTATTGTAATATATTTAAAATTAGTTTTGTATTATAATTTAATGTAATGTACATTTTATTATAGTGTTTTATAGTTAATAAATATTAGATTTTTATTATTATTCATTTACTTTTGTTTACTATCATTTATTCTAATCTGTTACCAATCACACTTTTTTTTATTCTCATTTACTCTAATTTTCACTTTTTTTTTCCTCTCAATTTCTTCACTTTTATTTACTCTCAATTACTCTACTACTACTTACCAATTATCAGTCATACCCTAAATGTTGACGGTAAGCAAAATTTTGTGCGGTAATACCAACATAGTCAAATTTGTATTCATTGAAAATGGATGGCCGACCCAGTTCTGTTACTTTAACTAACAAAAATGTAACACATCATATCGTAATAGTGATATATGAATTGACTGTTTAATTTGTCAAATGCTTTCACAAATTTACTTTTTGTTTTAGATAACAGAACCCAAATGTAATCTGATATTGTTCATAAGGCTTATGAGCCATTTCACTTTTCTACAAATTTTGTCGGAGCCTGAGAGCCGAGAGGAGTCGATTATCGAAAAACTTGTTAGGGTTTCCTACTGAAAACGAGAAGGGCCGAATTTCAAGTTTCGGTTAGTTTGGTTAAGAATAACCAAACCGAATTGAGCCATAATGAAATCAAACCGAATTGAGCCATAAAGAAATCATGTAAGAATCTGTTAAGCAAAGGTGGGCCTCATCAACTGAGACATGTCACGGAGAGGAAATCCAAAACACCCACTCTCTCTCACACTCATCACAACTTATCATGACTCCCGAGTTTTAACTTGTGGCTCATATTTCCCAGGAAAATCTCCCGGGGATGAGACTCGAAACTCGTCCCTAATGTACTCTAAAATCTTTCTCCGATGATCAGAGAAAGGCTCTAAGCTCCAGAAACTCAATTTCCTAGAATATTTTTCAGGCACCTAACCTCTAGTTTTGCTTAATGGTTTCGGGAAGAAGATGATTAAATCATCACCACTTCTACAGTCTCTTCTAGCTTCTCGAGACGACGTAAGTCATAACCCAGAAGTCAACCACAACTGTAGATCAAAAGAGCAAGAGTGTTTACACCTCTTGAAGAGATGCAAGAACATAGAAGAGTTCAAGCAAGTCCACGCCAAGTTCATCAAGCTCAGTTTATTCTCCTCCTCTCCATTCTCAGCGAGCAGCGTTCTCTCGACATGCGCTCACTCGGGATGGGAGAACAGTATGAACTACGCAGCGTCCATTTTCAGAGAAATCGATGATCCGTGCACCTTTGATTACAATACAATGATCAGAGGGTATGTTAACGCAACCAGTTTCGAGGAAGCATTGTGTGTTTACAATGAGATGATACAGGAAGGGATTGAGCCAGATAATTTCACGTACCCGTTTCTTCTCAAGGCTTGCACTCGTTTAAAGTCGCTTCCTGAAGGGAAGCAGATTCATGGCCACGTGTTTAAGCTCGGCTTTGACGCTGATGTGTTTGTTCAGAATAGCTTGATCAATATGTATGGAAGATGTGGGGAGATGACACTTTCTTCTACCGTTTTCGATAAGATTGAATCTAAAACAGCTGCGTCTTGGAGCTCAATGGTGTCAGCTCGTGCAGGAGTAGGAATGTGGAGTGATTGCTTGATGCTGTTCCGTGAAATGTGTAGAGAAACGGGTTTGAAGGCGGAAGAAAGTGGAATGGTTAGTGCTCTCTCGGCTTGTGCTAACACCGGTGCACTTGATCTAGGAATGAGCATTCATGGCTACCTGTTGAGAAACATAAGCGAACTCAACATAGCAGTTCAAACTTCACTAGTAGATATGTACTCTAAATGCGGGTGCTTAGACAAGGCGTTGCATATATTTAGGAAGATGGAGAGTAGGAACAGTTTGACTTACAGTGCAATGATCTCAGGACTCGCCTTGCACGGAGAAGGAGAAGCAGCTTTGAGGATGTTCTCAGAGATGATCAAAGAAGGTATAGAATCAGATCATGTAGTGTATGTCAGTGTTCTTAATGCCTGTAGCCACTCTGGTCTTGTCAAAGAAGGTCGTCGAGTCTTTGAGGAAATGTTGAGGGAGGGTAAAGTGGAGCCAACTGTTGAGCATTATGGCTGCCTTGTTGATCTTCTAGGAAGAGATGGACTGCTCGAGGAAGCCTTGGAAACTATCCAGAACATGCCCATTGAGCAAACTGATGTTGTCTGGAGAAGCTTCTTAAGCTCATGCAGAGTTCATCAGAACGTTGAGCTAGGAAAGGTAGCAGCTCGAGAACTGATTAAGCTAAGCTCACACAACCCAGGTGACTATTTGGTGATCTCTAACATGTATGCACAAGCTCAAATGTGGGAAGATGTAGCCAGAGTTCGAACAGAAATGGCTAACAAGGGTTTGAAGCAAACCCCGGGTTTTAGCATCGTTGAGGTTAAAGGTAAAACACACAGGTTTGTTTCACAAGATCGGTTCCACCCACAATGCAAAGAGATCTACAAGATGCTACACCAGATGGAGTGGCAGCTAAAATTTGAAGGATATACACCAGATGTGACACAGATATTGCTAAACGTAGATGAAGAAGAGAAAAGAGAGAGACTCAAAGGACATAGCCAAAAGGTGGCCCTTGCCTTTGCACTATTGTATACACCTCCAGGGTCTATCATTAGAATAGCTAGAAACCTGAGGATGTGTAGTGACTGTCACACATATACAAAGAAAATCTCCATGATCTACGAAAGAGAGATCGTTGTAAGAGATAGGAACAGGTTTCACCTCTTTAAAGGTGGAACTTGCTCTTGTAAAGATTATTGGTAGATTTGGATTCCTTCAATATCCTTAATGTTAAAATTCTTTTTTCACTCTTTCAAGCATAAAGATACCAATAAAAAAAAAGCGTTAAATGAAGGGAAAATTCCATATAAATACCCCAACTAAATTCTATTAAGCTTTTTAATACCCAAACTTTTTCACTACCCAGTTTAAAACCTCAACTAATTATTCTGCTCACTTTAATACATCAACTTTTATAACTGTATCCATTTTAATACTCAAACTTTGTTTATTTTAATTAACAATACTAATAAGTTTCCAATGAAATTTTANAAATACCCCAACTAAATTCTATTAAGCTTTTTAATACCCAAACTTTTTCACTACCCAGTTTAAAACCTCAACTAATTATTCTGCTCACTTTAATACATCAACTTTTATAACTGTATCCATTTTAATACTCAAACTTTGTTTATTTTAATTAACAATACTAATAAGTTTCCAATGAAATTTTAAAAATGTCTAAACTTCACAAAAAAAAATAATTTTATTATATGTTTGAGTAACGAAATTAAATAATTTTTTTATAATCTTAAGTTTTGTAATAAGTTTTTTAAATTTTATATATTGAATTTAGTT